GACGCGCTAACTTGTGTGAGCTAGAAAGTTTTGATAGTGTTTAGCAGCACTGATGAGAAAATCTGATGTCGATGGTGTCTGACGAGCTGATTTTAGTATTCCTCTAAAAGTTTTCATTGAGCATTGTACTTTGCTTTGGCTACATGCTGGTACAATGCGTTCCTTATCACTGAGAAGAAATAATTAGATCGCGATCTTCATGATTATCTAAGGACCTAGACTGCCTCGTAAATTTTCAGATATAGTTTAATAGCATCGACAGGTGAATCTCTCAGTCTCAACTGTAGCGACATTTTTTTCAGCTATGTTGAGCAATGCTATTTTTTTCAGATTATTTCAGCAATACTCCAGGAAAGAGACGAAGCGCTCTTGAGAGGGTCGTTAATCACACGTATCGACAGTCTTCTGTTCTAAAGTCATACATTTGGAGGACCATCGTGAACGTTTTAGACGGCACGTGTCTCGAGGGGCTGCAGATAACTGACAGAGGAGTTCATTTAGGCCGCTTTCGAGTGACAAATGTTGCTAACTGTCAATCGATCCTGTAACAAATGTTTCCCTTCCGAGACATGGTCTTCTCAGCTTCAATAACAGAGGAATCGTCTGGAAAAATCAGAATGGTGCCTACGTATGCTTGGGCTGGAGCTTTGTTACACGGAAAGTAAGGGAATAAGCGCTCGATGGCATGCATAAATATGATAAGCTTATTATTGTTTTACGAGTAATTTTACAAATTGCGTTTTTTTATTGGAAACCTTCCTTTGACAAACTGGCTAAGCCTTCCGACCTATCCCCAGGATCATTCGCCGGCCACATTACATCAGTGCCGGGTTATCTCCCTCATTGCAATCTGCTGGACGGCTCGGCTGTTAGCCTGTTGCGCAGAATGCCTGTTGTCGGCGCTGTTATACCGTGCAGGCTCAGCTCGATTCTCCTTTATGGCATTATTGGGAGGCAGGTAACGGCCAATAAAGCCTGTATGCTATTGTGTTACCGCTCGGCAGATGGCTCAAGTAATCGGTTATCAGCTCAATAGCGCTATTTGTCGGGCAGGTCAGCATCAAGGTATACCCAGCCAGCAATTTCGCTCCGGGCCCAAGCAGGCTTAAGTGCGGATTGCCCGAGATTTTTATCCGGGCTAAAGTCGGCTAGGGCTTGGGCTAAAGTCGGCGTATGACACAAAAACGCCGACTAAAGCCCATGCTCTGCCGGAGGTATGCCCGCTCTGCGAGCTCCGGACAGCCGTAGTTTAGCCCTAGCTGAGCGACGATTGGCGTTAGCCCGATTTATGCCCGAGCAGTGAATCCATTTATATAATGGAGATTACTCTGGGCCCGAGCTGGCTGAACTCCAGCAAGCCCACTCTGTGTGCCCTGTCTATCCCGACTTAAGCCATAGAAGTGAATGGAGTTTATACATTGCAAACTGCTGTGGCTTTGCTCGGGTTTGGCTCGAGTGACGGCTCCTGTTTTCTCAAGTCTCGACTTGACTTCATCTTGCTTTTGCTTCACACTGGATCAAGTAGCAAGGAGCAGCTAATGCACTTTCAGCAGGTTGTGCGGTTTCAATGCATATTTAAAATTGTTACGGTCACTCATATGCTCTGTTAACCGGTCATCGAGCATTGCGAAAGGAAAGTAGTGGTTGACTTTGATTGAATGTATTTTTCAAACGACTACAGACACGTCAAATGAAACACAAATACATGAATCAGTGGACTGCAAACTGCAGCAATAATATGGCATGAGTCATGAAAAAGCGCCATCAAAACTATAAAACAATCACAGGGCCCGCTAGCCTCCCTCCCCGTTCATAATACTTGGTTGAACACTCAACCGAAAGCATAAAGTAAGGACAGCAAGTAATCGCTCATAAGACATAAAGCAATTAGCAAACAATCGTTTATAAGGAACTTCACTCTGGTGAATGGGAGCTTTGGAGGCGTTTGGCTCCTCCACACACACATCTGCAGTAGGTTGTCGGCCAGCTTTCGGCGCAGTTTCCGTATATGCAGGTATACCTACTTAATTATAAGCAGGCAGTTTCCGCTAAACCACTTGGCGAGGGCGACTGCGGCGTCCACCCGGTCCTGGTTTGTATAACTATTCCATTTTTTGGAACCATTTGCTCTAATGGTACGTACCTGAAAAAGAGATTAATTGGTTCAATTTACATTGCATGTTTGCTTGAAAAATAACTTATTGTTGCATTAATACGGTAAAAGCACTTCTCATTGATCCGTATAAAATGTTCATTCAATTTTTAACGCGGACAGAGAATGAGCGTGCTCGGTGATAAGTAGATAAATATTTGTGTTTTGTATTTCATTTTCCTGGCGTGTCCATGTTTGATGGCGTGAAACTCAGTCAAAATCATGTCGTTTACATACGATCAAGCACACCATTCAATACACTTAACTACCGTAAAACTCCATGCCAGTCCACTTGATAAGAGCAGTGAGCACTATCCCTTCTTCGCGCTGTCACACGCGCCCAAACATCAACCACCAAGTCCAAATACCCCAACACCGGTGTGTCGTTTCGTCGCACAGCGCGCAGACTGTCACAAACGCTGCACATGATTGGCGCAGAAATGCGCATGCGCGAACAGCCAAACAAGTATGGCTAAGCTCCGGCTTTACTCCAGTTAGCCGAAGGACACAGCCAGCTTGATCAGCCCGCGCTCCGCCCAAGTTAAGCCTGTTTTGGATGCGCGGGCAGATGTCGGGCTGAGCTACTGCTATCCGCACGTGGGCATAGTTGCGGCATGCCCCAGCTCAGCCCTAGTAAAAAGTACATTGGTTTTGATCAAAGTGGGCAAACCCAAGCTAAGCCCAAGCTGCCCGACGTTTGCCACAGTTCAGCCCAAGCGAATTGCTGGCTGGGTATATACTAGACGGAACTGCATCAGGCTCATATATCACACGGACGGACGGGCTGCAACCAGAAACCACCTGATCTGCAATCTGAGACGTATCGACAGATGCAGCTGTATTGAAAGAAAGAAAAAAATAGTGAATAACTAGCATATGTCTATCTAGGTTGAATTGATAATCAAAAGAGAAAATCAATGCAAAATAAATCAAATATCCATCTTAATCAGGAATCATCAACACTCGAGTGTAAGACGGCGCTATTTTTGTCAGCACATGTTCGGATACCGAGTTGAACATTGACCGATTTGCATACCTATCACTTGGCGTTCTACGCGCCAAAGGGAACCGGCACGCATCCTACCATACACATTACACATCACGCGTAATAGGCGGGGCCCTCTGGACCCCGCCGACGGACTAATGGCTGCGCGTGGAGTGCCAATATTGTCCAAGTCGGATTGTGTGGCCCAGCCAGTTAGGCACTGCTGGGGTGCGCTGTATTGATTGCTGGATGCTGCCGCGTCGGAGCCGGCCGTTGTTGGGGCTGCTCGGTCTCAGTTTCATCTCCATCCCTTCTCTGTCCCGTCTCATGGCTGTTTTTTCTCTCGCATTCTCCGGTTCCCATGGCTGTGGATTGTCCCCATTTTGGTCAACTCGGTAGTAGCCAGTGTCCTGTCTCTTCCCGTCTCAGAGGCTATTTATTATATTCGTCTTCAAGTTTGTTTTTTAGATTACCCTTGGTCCAGGCGGCAATATCCTGTATCCCCCCGCTTACACGACTTTCCTCCGTCTCCGTCTCCCGTTTCTCCAGCTGTCTCCTCCGACCACTGTAACTGTCTCCGGCTTCCGCGGTTGTCTCCCGTCCCCGGACCGAGCTGTCTCCGGCCTCTACTGTGCCCTGTATCCACAGCTGTCTCCCGTCCCCGTCGTCTCCGGGCAGTCTCTCCTGTTTCCGCGGCTGTCCCCCGTCTCCCGTCTGTCCTCCTGTCTCCTCCCGTCCCCCGCCGCGCTGGCGCATCTCCAGGATCAGCGGCGCCTCGGCCGGCTCCTCGGCCGCCCTCTGTCCCGCCCACAGGCGGCGCAGATGGTATCCGAGCGCTATCCGCGCCACGCTCGCCGCCCGGTCGGCCTCACTGCGCCATTTCCGAACATCATCCGCGGCATTAATTCCCGGCCGCCGCCACCGCCAGCGCCGCTATCGACGACCGTCGGCGGCGACGGGCGAGGGTCGGACCCTTGTGCCGATCCCCCCGCCGGCCCCTTCCAGAGCCGCTGCTCTCCTGTATAGATAACGTCTTGGACACGCGCCCCTGTTGTCTCGCAGGCGAATCCCCAATCAAAAGGCCACCGCCCTCGTGGCGTTTGCCGAGGGAGAAGCCGGGTGGAGGGTGATTGGGCCAGTCAGCAACGACAGAGGCGAACAATCCGATGACGCAACGCTCTCAATGTGTTGGTCTTGCTGAGTGGACAGGAATTAATTAGCTGATGCGGCGATGGGGGACGATGTTGGTCAACAACGTTAGCGTGCGCTCTCGGAATAATTTGCCGCTAATATCAGGACACGAGCAAATGGCTCTCACTTCGTCGCACACGGCGCATTGTTTGTTTTCGTTAATTGAATTGTGAGTGTTACAAATGGAAATGGCGTCCTTCACGTCCATCTGTTATTGTTTACTGATTGCGAGATATAATTTCATTGCAAGGCAATGCAAATGGTTTGATTCTGACTCCCACACACCGTTAAGTCAATTTAGTTGTCATAGCTGTTCTGTTATTCACGTGGGTGCGAAAGCTGATATTAATAATCCATTGAGCACAGCATCAGCTAGTTTTATCCAGCCCCATGTTTTCATTTTCCCTCGCTTCGACCATTCCTTCTTCCCTGTAACCTATCACGTTAGTCTTCTGATCCATCACTGACCCAGTCTCATGCCCTCCCCATATCCATTCATCGCTCCTGCAAATCTATGCCATAGATCTCACAGCCTTGCAGAACGCCATAACTCCGTCTTAGCCCACTGTTCCTCCCGTAGCCATGCTTACCGTGCCTTCCATTCATCATATCCGGACCCGGTGCCCGTGAGCTGCCCGGCGACTACATGATAAATCCGCTCCGCTGTTGCAGAGAGCGACTGCGGAGAGGTGGGCGGCCGTCGCGCCGCGCTGAGGACACCATGGTCCTGCGGCGGCTGTTCGGCCGTCCTCAGTCCTCCGAGGACGGTCTGCGGGCGGACGATGAGGACGGAAGGACCGCGGAGGACCTGCCGCCGGCGCTGCCGCCCCGTCCCCTCCGTCTGCCGCCGAGAGACATGGGCCCGCAGCCGCCGCAGCAGGACGACATGCCCCCGCCAGGTCAGTACTGTTGTAGACTGTAGTGCATTTCTGTAATCAGGGAACATCATAGAGATCTCACAATGTGAGCGGAGAATGTCAGTGAGATTTCACCAGGTGAGCGGAGCAGGCCTGGCTGGTGAGCTATATGAAGCAGCATGGTGCCTCGTTAGGAAGAGAGCTGGCGATAGCGAGCGCCGGTGGGTGTTTGTGATGATGCAACAGCGCCCTGCCTTGGCACCGTCGAAGCAGCAAATCACTGACCAATCGTTAGTCATGTTTCAACAGAACTCAGAAGTGCCCGCGGACACTGCCGAGCGGCGCGCAGTTACACATGGACTAATTACTAATCAGCTTAGAATCTGCATATGTTTTGGACCGGAGATCTTGGCGCTTATGCCTTACCACTGACAATAAATCAAATCCAATTCTCCCATTTACCAGACCCGTTAATTTGACTCCATTTCAGCGGTCGCGCGCTGCCCATTCCGCTCTCGGAGACCAATGTTATGCAAAATCTCATTCCTTGCGGCCCAGAATAGCCATTGCTCGCTAACACTGCTCCGTACATAATGCATGCGCGGGTGAAAGTGGCCTGTCCAGTGTAATCAGGTGATAAATGACTGCGGCGAGCGGCTGGGGTTCGTGCTGCGGCGCATTGCTGGCCATTACCCGGCCGGTGCTGGTCTGCCGTGTCCTGCAGAGGCGCACGGCGCCCAGCACTGCTCGCTCAGCCGCCGCCCAGAGCTGGTCCTCAGTGCTGGTCCGCCGTGCCGCTCTGACCAGCACCACTCCACTCGGCGGCCGGCCACCGTCAGCCCGGCGCGCGGCGCGTCCGCCTCCCGCAGCTGCCGTCCCCGCTGGCCGCCTTCGGGAGCGGCCGATTAACCCTCCGCATGCAAGGCTGCGCGCCGATTTACATTCTTCTGGCCTCGCGAGCCGCTCGTTAAGTGCGCCTTAGATGGCGGATCGTACATGGTTGGGGGCGGCGCGGCTGTCGTAACTCGTCGACGGCCGCGGCGCCGTTCGGTGGATGGATCCGTCCCGGCCGGAGCGCGCAGCGGCTCTGTATGGAGTCCGGGAGAGACGGCGCCTGCACCGTACTGCCCCGGGCACAACACTCTTGTACCAGGCCGCTGGTGTACAAGTGCAATGGTTCTGATTCATGTAGGCACCTTCATTAATTACGCCGTGAGGCTGTGGAGAGGGCTGTGAATGGTTAATATCCGTCCTGCAGCTCGTAGTTACAGCGATGGGAGCGGACCCGGCTCGCTGAATAGCGCATTAGGTGACCCAGAGTGATTTTATTGAAGCAGAAGACTGTTGATATGGCTGACCCTAGTCCAAACGGTCCAGACCGATCGGCTAGTAGCTGCTCATATCTGCATATTAAACCTGTAGCTGGGCTATAAACGGTCCACTCCGAGGGCTGTTTGGGTTTGGGTAGCTCAACTGAAACCGATCAAGATTCATTACAAACTTCATGGTTCTGACGTCAATGTGTCGAAACGGAATTCATCAAACTGCCAAAATAGACTCCTTCAATTCCAGCGTATTCAAGCAGCCATGACGCTTCATCAATTAAGAGCCACTCAGCTCACATGGTATAATGACCACCGAAACCTCCAAGTCAGACGTGGGAAAATCTCGGAACTCTGCTGATGTGAGTTCTCTCTCCATTTCAGCGGCGGCGGCGGTGCCTGTGGTGACGCGGAGGCCCTGGTGGCGCTCGGTGACGCGCAAGTACGTCATCCTGTGCTGGGTGTGCGGCGGCCTAGCCGTGCTGCTCGGCCTGCTGTACGTGCTGCTGTACTTCCTGCTGCGCGCCTACACCAGCAGCATCCACTTCTTCGAGACCATCCCCACCTACGTGCCCGCCTGCGTGGTGAGTGCCGGAGAGAGGGAGAGGGACAGGGAGAGGGAGAGGGTAAAGACTGAAGAAGATGGAGAAAGAGGGAGATGGCATGGGAGAGGGCGATTTTGCTGTGCAAGCGGAAATATGTTTCTGTAAAAAAGATCATTTTTATACGCTTCTACAACCTACACGTATGGTGAGAGACCACTATTGTTACTGTGACTCTACGACGCAAAAATGTTCGTGTTTCGGGCACACCGTTAGGCTCTGTCACTCCATTCTAACTAATGGCGCTGCAACAGAGCTCGGCCTGACAGACTGAATCCAATATCATTTTCACTTACGGACGCAACAAAAAGTGCAGCGCAGCCTGCAACGTTAAATCTAAGAACTGCGATACACCATTTGTCTCGCCGAAATAAACGACCTCAATAACGTCCTCAGCGACCGTTTCGATTCCCAGCGCAGCTCTGGACTGACACAATGCTCGCTGAAGTTATGGCAGCACCCACTCTCTAGCGCCGGCGCAGCAGTACAACTGTGAATGGCCGGCGCTTCGCAAAAATGAAGCACGATAGCCTCAAATGGAACGAGTGGACATGGGAAGCTGGAAGTGCACTTGGACTGATTTAGACAAATTGCGATCCGCCGCTGATGCGGTCTGAATGCCCCGAAGGTCCGATTTGTCTTGCGATCTATTCAACTGGCCGGGGGAGTTGAGCCTCGACAAAGGCCGGATCGCCCCAGCCGCGACACCGCGATGGGCGATGACTCTCAAATGCGGCTCTTTGGCCGAACAGAGCTGAGGCGGAGAGGGGAGGCGCGCGGCGGCCGGCGCGGCCAATGGAGGGCGAGGATGTATGCGCGGGGGAGACGGGGAAGACGGCCGGGCAGGGGAGATAATGGAGCGATCCGGAAGCGAGAGAGGGCGAGGAGTCTGTGGCAGACGATACGCACAATTAGCCACGGGGTAGGGAGTCCGACTTCAGTGCTACTTTAGCTCAAAGAAAAGCAGCGAGGAACATAAAGATGCAGGGGTGGCGCGAGATCTCCGCGATTCAGACAATTGATCATTTAATTCATTTTCATGCGGCGCAATATCTATCGGTATCTTGCGTAGTAGCTAGCAAATGCAGCGTAAAATCTTCGAATTGGGCACTTGAATTCTGTAAATAAAACCGCCGTCCTTCCGTCGCCCTGACTGCGGCGCTGCCGGTAGCTGCACGGACCGTCTATAGCCTGCACCGTCTCCACCGGGCCACGTCAGCTGGGCCCTCTGGAGACAAACGGCGCCCTGTCGATGGCGAGGAGGCGTCCAACTTGGCCGGTCCGACGCGATTAAACCGAGCCATCTGTCCGACTCGCCGATTGGAAATGCAACTTTTTGAATGGCCATTCGAGCGTGCTTCTGTGAAAGACGAACTGCAGCTCTGTTAGGGCGTCCGTGGAACGTGGCTCTGTATACAGCCCTGATGAAGGGAAATGTGTTTGATGAGATGTTTTCAAAGTGGCCTGTGCACACATGGTGCTAACAAGATAACTGGAAAGTTTCAGCTTTGCTTTTGTAATTCGTCAGAAGTAGAACATTCAATAGGCCTGCGTACGTAGCGTATTTCTTTGTAATTCACTGCATAGATAACGCAGGCTCCGGTCCTGGAGCATTGCATCAATCAGATTCAGGTCGCGTGAACCGGAACGATCGCCTAACCGGGTCAAATATTCGATGTGTGTGAGAAATGCGGTTAGGCATGGCACTAAGCCAGCTAATTTGGTTGCATTTTAAATAGAAATGTGAAAACGTTCATTTTATGAACGCAAAGTAATTTTAATTAATTGCAGCAGCCAATAGCGTTCATTTACCTATTTCACAGGCATTTCATAGGAATCTGTCACATACATTGCATATTGCACAGCACTGACCCTTTTGCAAATTCGTACATATTTCCCCTTGATATCATGGTAAGGACAAGCTCGGCGATGACAAACGGGTTTGAATGTGAATTTCAAGGTGGGAAAGCAATTTATGAAATTTTGTAATTTAACTAACCTTATGGATGTGTTTCAGCTCATGGTTACGGGATTTCTGCTGCTCTGCTTCATCAAACGAAGAAATCGCTTCTCCTATCTGGTAAGTACCTCCATTTCTACATGGCATAGGTGCTGTTACGCCTGGGCCACAGCTCTTCCGATGTTTCCTGACACAAACTTCGCTTCTGTATTTTAAATGTTGTCCCACGTTATCCCTGTGTGAAATATTGGACATGTTTAGACTTAGGTATTCCAGTGATAAAGTTTTAGGCAATTCTATTCATTTGTCGCTATCTTCGCCCAAATCCCTCCATCCTCGTTGTGATCGGCCGTTGCTGAGTCTGACCAACGCACCATGTCCCTTGCATATATTATCTTTTGTCGCCTTGTCTTTACCCGTCACTAAGCAAACGGCATAATCTACTGTATGTGCATGAGTCAAACTAGGGGAGAGTGGGGAAAGATGCCCAGGGTTTTGCTATGTCATATATTATTCGAAAATGACGATGGGAAAGCAAAAACTTGGAGTTTCAACGAAAGCCGACATCATTTTTCTCCAAAAATATCACACTTTCGTGCCTGAAATATTATAACTTTTTTTTGCTATTAAGCATTTTCCTGAAGAAGTGAAAGGGGGCATCTTACCCCACAGGGTGGGAAAGACGCCCCCTGACGTTGGGAAAGATGCCCCCTGCACTATAAGTGAAATAAATGGGCACGTGAATCGCCTGAACGAATCAGTAGTCCCTTCGAGCCTGCAGTAGACACCAAACGTCATCATAAGGGCCCTCAAAAGTAGTGGTAAGGGGCTTCAGAGGTCATCGTTAGGGCCATCATAGTCCAGCGCGGCCAAACAAGCCTCCGTGGTGGCGTTCGGAGACCACTGTGGGGCTCTTATAGGTCTTCATGATGCTTGAGGGCCCTCGAGCCCATCGTGGGGACCTCAGATGCCAGCGCGGCCCGTGGAGCCAACGTGGGAGCCCTCAAAGGATGTCGTGAGGGGCCCTGGAGCCAATAATGGGGCCCACAGAGGCCGTCGTGAGGGCTCTCAGAGTCAGATGCCGCCCAAAAAGTCGCTGTGTGGGCCGAGAGACCGGCATGGGGAGCACCCGACCGTACTGGACTCTCAATAGTCCCAGATCGGCTTTTGTCTATCATCAAAAGTATGTAATAAATGATTTGACGGGCTGCTTGAAGGACAGCCTACGGATTTAGGGGGGCGTTTTTCCCCATCAGGACAGGGGGCATCTTACCCCAAGGTACAGAATTAACATTAAATCGGTACAATTTGTTAGCCATAAAACTACACCCTGAAACAAACTGTTTGGGACACTGTACACGCATGTTAATGTATCACGACCATAGCAAGGAACATAAAAATTATTTACATTCTTTGATATTTACAATGTTTGGACACCAAAATATTTTTCGAAAGCAGCAACCAAAAAAACATGCAATCACCAGCCAGCCGTTGCCAAACTAAGCTTCGCAAATTTTTGTGCAGTTAACAAGGCAGGCTTCCGCTTTACGCTAAGAACATTAATTTCCAGGTTCGATTCTTTGTTTCGCCGCTAGAGGGGGTGGGGCGTCTTTCCCACCCTGGGCATCTTACCCCACTCTCCCCTACACATTTGTCTTTAGAAATGATAAGTTATGGGACTGGTGCTCTAAGCACAAGGAAATGTATTCAATATTCAGCCACTGTTATGCACTTCACTTTCACGCATGGGGTGTCCGAAAAAACTGCGGCAAATTAACGGCAGTTTTGATATTTCATAAAGCCCCAGCTTATTTAGTTCATCCCCGGCACATCCCCGGCAGCGGTCCGGCTAAAGACATAATTCCGCACCGCGCCCTGCCCGGAGTCCGTCTTCATCAATTCTCGAGGGCCGTCGCCGGCGGCCGCGGATGTGCAGCTGGGCGGCCCAGGCCGCTCTCTGTCGGCTTAGCTGGCATTCTGCAGCTCGCTGAGTGTGGCTGAGCTCGCCATTCAGACCAGACTCGGCGTCCCAGCCTGCCCGGCCGGCGGGACAGACCGGAATTTTACAGAGTCTCAAACAGCCACCGAGTGTGGGAGGTGGCTGGTTATCAGCAGCTTTCTCAGACCCAGATGCTGCGCTGTTATAAATGGGGGTCAAGATATGGTTTATTTATATTATCAAGAAGTTGGCTCATTTGACGTTTGCTTTATTGTAGGTGAAATAGGCTCTCGACGTGATAAGCTAATGAGATGAGTAGATATAAGGAGATAAGTACATTAATCCATAATCCATATGATAAATTGCCACATTGCTGGTCATATCATTCAGTCACTTTTATGATAAGTGACGTTATTGAACAAAATAACGTGTGGGCAGTGGACGTGGATCATTTGTGCAGCCACTCTCGTTTCATTCCGGTTTAGTCCCCAGGCCGTATCGAAACCGCACCCAATTATCGAGCCCCATGTGCCGTGGCCACCTCATGCGCCGATCCAATCCCCTCTGTTCCTGCCCAGTGCCCGGCGGTGCCATCGCCGCCAGTTTTAGCGCCGAACCCGTCCATTCGGTGTCCTTTGCCGGCCATCTGCGGCCCGCGTGTCGGCGGCGCTCACCAGGGCACGTCGTTCTGTTCTGCTCGTGACGCCGGCCAATCACACTCTGATGGATCGATGGCCTTTGAGAGGCGGCCGTAAACCGAGCACAGACCGTCAGCGGCCGTCCGCCAGACAAAATGAACACGGCAGTCGCTCCCCGAAACGGCTACCATCAGCCGGCATATACAGTCGCGCTGGCGGCGGCTGTTGAGGGCGACAAAAGACGCTGCAGCAGCTCGCTCGTCGTCTGTGAAGGCGAGATGATAAAACTGGCGAGACGTTACCCGCATTTCGTAAACGACTGGTGATAAAGCATCTAATATGCGGCACGCGAGGAGTACTAAGGCTCCAGGCTTATCCGCCTTTGATACGAAACTTTGTAATGATGTGGGGATGTCAAATGGGAGATAAGGCGCTGAAAAAACGTATACAAACTGAAGCATTAAAGCACACAAATACTGGGCCCATCAGTCGTAACTTACACCACAATATCTGCCGTATAATTGATAACTTTATTGATCATTTGAAAATTCGTTGATTTTCCTACGGCTGATTTTTATCTGTTTGCTATTGGATGTTAATCTATAGTTCGTGTGATAACCACGAATAATGCCTAGATATATAGGCACACAAATGGGCTGGTACATACCAGCCCACCCAATTAATTCATGTGTCAATAACCCGATAGAAGATCTACATGTCTCATCATTTGTATCCCGGTGCAGGTCATAAACTGTCTGCGGCTCGCTGTCTGGTGTCGGGTCTGTGGTTACTGACAGTCTGTCCCTCTGTGCAGATCAAGCTGTCTAGTAGTTTTGCGGTTTGGTGCCGCCAGTGCAGTATATTGGTCGCGTTTCTGGCAGTCTCTCCCCGCTGCAGATCAAGCTGTCGGTTTTCTGCTGCCTGGAGCTCTACTTAGTATGTTACTGACAATCTATCTCCCTCGGAACAGATCAAGTTGTCTGGTTCCCCTGCCTGGTGGGTGTCGGCGCTGTCCTGTGTGTTTCTGACACTGACTCTGACACTGTCTTGACCTGGTGCAGATCAAGCTGTCTGGTTTCTGCTGCCTGGTGTCGGCGGTGCTGTGTATCTGTTACTGATGGTTGGTTCTCGCTGCAGATCAAGCTGTCTGGTTTCTGCTGCCTGGTGTCGGCGGTGCTGTGCGTGGTGATCACCGTCACCACCGCCGTGGTGCACATCCACCGTCTGCAGACGCTCACCGAGTGTGTGTTCGCCCAGTCCGTACACACCTGCACGTGCTTCGCCGGACGCCTGGAGGACCCGTACGAGGGTGAGGAAGGTTAGTTTACTAATGGATTGGGGGAGAGAGATGGGACGTAGTGTGGGGATAAAATGATAGCTTTTTATTGGCAGAGGACCAGTGGTGAGGAGCGATACTATTTGTGTTTCAACGTGGTGGGTTTGCTTAAATGGTGTTCGAAATGACATGAATAGACTGGAAATAATCCTATGACACGATTCAACAGCTTCTCTCAAGCTGTGGATATCCTCGGACTGTTTATCACTCGGGTGACTCAAGATTAAATAGTTGAATTATGGCACAATTAACAGTCTGCACACTTTTGCGATATGTTATTGCGCCCTACTTGCCACCCAGCCCAAGCACGGTCACGCGGTCACGGTCACGGGCGCTGCCTAAAATGTAGGCAGCGCCCGAGGCCTTTTTCCAGCGCCGTTTTTCCGAACGGGCATTATCTACCGCTGAGGTCCTTACTCAAAATACAGTCGGTTATAAAACATAGCCGTGCAATATTGAAGCGCCTACATTTTATGGTGTGTTTTAAGCACAACTGCAAACGTGGTGATATACCTACATAATATTTTAGATTAAAAATTTACATCAACCATTCTTTCATCCTGATTTCTGATATATTTTTTTCAAACCACTCTTATATATTCAAGATATGCCTGATTAACTTGCAGTGGTGCCGTTTTGGTTGGTATAAGCTTATGTATAACGGCGCCCCAATGGATCGGATTAGCTGACTGAGAAGGGCACAATAGTTTGGTGGACTGCCTGCTGAGTGCTGAACAAAGACATCGTCCGAATAAGGAAGTCGAGCGACAATGTATTTAGCGTTTGTGTTTGGATTAGCTCTAAGTGTCGGTGACTTAGCCAGATTTACAGCTGTCTCAGCGACTGAAGTTGCCATTTTTTAATGCAAAAATTAAATATACCTACATGGCGTCTAACCCTGACTGCAGGTAATCCAAGTAACATCTAATGCTCAGCTTCAGGGTGGACCAAAAAGGATGGAAACATTTTGAACTCGCATAAAATATGTGTTATTGCATGCAGGTGACTGAAAATGATACCAAACGAGAGTACATTTCGTGGAAATTCATCATGACATCTCTCTCATCTGCTTTCTCTCGTATTCAGTCTCCCACAGCAAATGTTCGAAGAGGCCACTTTTGCGAGACAGGCAAAGAGCTGCTGACGCGATAGCCCGACGACACATGTCCGCTGGTTTGACTCGCACAGCCTTGGTGATCACTCTCTTCAGGTAACAGATGCCTTTAGAACCTTCCTTGTAGACCTGGCCTTGAGATTACCCCACAGGAAAAAATCCATCGGGGTCAGGTCAGGTGATCAGACAGGCCAGTTCCGACAGGCACTGCGGGATATCAGCCGGTCACCAAAGTGGTTCGCGCTCCACTTGAGTGTTGTTTCGCGATGTGAGGAGGCGCACCGTCTGGCTGGAATCACATGAGGTCCATGAGACTGCCATACTTCGTTTGGGCTCACTTCAACAACTTCTTTAGCGTCGCTTGGTAGCGCTTTTGGTCGTCAGCCACGGTGTTGTCGCTCCCATCCTCAAACCGAAGTGGAACTGGCCTGTCTGTCTTCTCGTCTGACCTATGGATTCCTTTCCTGTGGGGTCATCTCAAGGGCCAGGTCTACAAGGAAGGTTATGTAGGCATCTGTTACCTGAAGAGAGTGATCACCAAGGCTGTGCGAGTCAAACCAGCGGACATGTGTCGTCGGGCTATCGCGTCAGCAGCCAGGCTGGTCGCTCTGTGCAGCTGTCTCGCAAAGGTGGCCTCTTCGAACATTTGCTGTGAGAGACTGAAAACGAGAGAAAGCAGATGAGAGAGATGTCATTATGAATTTCCACGAAATTTTCTCTCGTTTGGTATCATTTTCAGTCACCTGCATGCAATAACACATATTTTATGCGAGTTCAAAATGTTTCCATCCTTTTTGGTCCACCCTGTACTGTTGGTGGGAATTTTGGAGGCTAGAAGCCTGGGACACATAACAAAAAAATGTTTGACTGAATCAGGTGTTTCCAGAAACCTCACTGCGTGTTTAAGTGTGTATTTCAGCAGGCAAACTACCGTGTTTCATTATGTTCTTTCGGTAATACGTCAGGTTTCAAGGCGTGCTTCATCAGCAACCCGCTACATTTCACTGTGTTTCACCGTTAACCCGCCTCGATTCAGTGTGTTTCATCCGTAATATGGCACGTTTCAACGCGCGTATGTCACCGCTAAGCCCCTATATTTCACTGCTGTGTTTCACCGGCTAACCCGCTACATTTCACTGTGTTTCACCGTGTTTCAGTGAGTTACGTGTTCCGCTCTGTGCCGGACTGTAATGTCATCCACGGAGCACTCTTCTCCTGTCTGCGCGCGCTGTTCGGACTCTCCGTCATCGGCGCGCTGGTCTGCATCTTCTCCTGCATGCTCGTCTACCAGCTGCTCAGGTGGGAGGTCCAGGGCGACGAGCGACGAGCGCAGCGTAGTACATATATCTGCTAGGTCGAGGAACTCGAATGCACTGATCGGGGAGGATTAAAACTGCAACGCCCGGCCTGTAATTTATTGTGGTCAGATTATATGACGTTGGATCTTACAGGAATGTGGAACTTTTTGTGGTGATGTGACATATTTGCATTAAGACAGACCGGCAGCAAAGCTTACTGGAATGTAAAACTGTTTGTGGTGACTGGTGAGGTGGCGTATTTTCATTCAGTCTGCCCACAAGCCTAGGTAAAAAATATCGTATTTCCCGTGGATATTGTGGGAGTTATCGTTGTTTTATGGTTGTGGTTGTATCCTCAATGCCAATCACATGTGGATGGGTCTCGAATATGCATCAAATATGAAGACATCAAACAACGGGTATATGAAGACATCAAACGGAAGATCAGCATCGAGGTCGTCATGTCTGCGGATATAGCTTACTAAAAATCCATGCCTAAATTAGCCACCGAAGCCACCAAACCACATACCAGTAAACGCCAGCCAAAAATGATGACATTTACCACCCACATTCCAAATTATCATATCAATCAAATCTGCTGACACACAGATAACAGTACTACTGTTATCTGTGGCTGACATCATCAGCTACCACACACCTCTCTACTAACAAGCCCTCTCCCTCGACAGCCACGAGCGTAAGAAGATGTACTGGGAGCAGCTGGAGCTACGCCAGCGCTACTTCTTCCAGGCGCACCCGCCGTTCCCGCCCTCATTCTGCGCCAGCGAGCCGGCCTGGCAACAGTGGGAGTTCGTCGACGACCTAACGTGCGTGAGAGGGTTGGGGCAACGGGATGGAATATGGACTTGTGGTAACTTACCCCGTGTGTAACGTCAGGGCGAGAATTAACGTTTTCTTTTTTGATAAATTTAATTTTAGTTCGTAAGTACATACGGAGAAGGCCGATATGCCTTATCGAAACGGCCCGCGTGCTTAGGTCGTTTTTGTGGTAAGATGTGACCACCGTCCTCTGAACTTGCTTAGTTTAAAACCTGCACGATAGCATTGTTTCTGAAACGCGGCTAGATATCAATTTGCCACGTTTCCAGTTTCTCATCCTATCTTGCGGACATTCTTAACCTCGATAAATCATTTATCGACACAAGTTGCAACTCTCGGTTCCTGTGGCTGCCAGTCAGCATACCTCGGCTGACTGCATTTCGCCTATTCGTCTCGTGCACAGGTACTGGCCGCAGCGGACCCTGGAACCGTGCTCTCCCAGCCCAGAGGAGTCGACCACCAGCCGTTCAGCCCTGATCGGGGGATCCTCCGGCCGGCCTGCCATCATAGGTGGCAGCACCGTACCGTCGCGCCGAGCGGGCGGGCGCAGCTGGATTCCCTGGCGACGAAACAACAGGCGAGTGGGCAACAGGGTGGCGAGATGGATGCATTGCCAGTCTCAGTACGCAGGTTTTTTGGTGAATGTAGGATCATGGATGTGAGATGTAGGCTGACAGTACAGAATCAATGCAGTATGCTTGGATATGCCACCTGTCGCCAACAGGACTGAACTCGGGCAGTGTCGATAAGGAGAAATAGAAATTGAACTGACTGATGGCGTTCCGTTGTTCCACAGGTCTCGTCAGGATAGGGACGACACGCCGCCCCGCAGCGTGACGGCTCCGTTCGGGCTGGGCGGCGGCCGACAGTCTGTCCCTGTCCGCCACGCCAGCCGCTCCAACGACGGAGTATTTCACCACCTGACGGCTCAGCGGTACAGCAGTCCTCCAGCACTGGGACAGCTCGCCTGGAGCCACTGGGGGCCTCCACCTCCCTACTCGCAGCCCCCGAGCCTGCAGAACATCACTCAGGACTCAGGCCCCTCGACGCCAGGCTCACTGATGCGAGCGGCCGCCCGGCAGACTCCGGTGGCGCCACACAAGCGCCAGGACGGCGACGGGGATAACCTCAGTTTCAAGTCAGAGGCGTTAGATGTCACTAGCAAATCGCCTGCGTGTGGTGCCAGGGCGGCGATGCAGCACGATCGTGTAGGAATGACGGGGAGTCTGCCGACCAGGCAGAGAGGTAGGACCATCGCCGGGAGGTCGCTAGAGGACATCCTCAACAGTAAAACGTCAGTGGAGGAAAGATCGCCGAGGTCTGCAGTCACGTCTGAGGAAAGATCGGCGTTATCTTTGTACGGGAGATACAAAAGGCCTCTATTTACTGCCCTCGATGAGGGCCCTCGAGGACTGAATGTAGACCGTGCTGAAGACATTCCAGGAGACTGCTCAGGTGTTTATTACATTCCCAACGTTTCTGAGATCATCTCTCACGGTACGGTCGGATCCCGGGCGTTCCCTTCCGGTCGTAAGCAGCACGTCATGCAGTGCGGTTTAGAGGCCGATCGGCCTGTCTCCCCGCCACTGTGCTCCGCCAGCCGCTCTCCCCGGCCGGCCAGCCCCGTCTACGCTGCTAACCACGTGCTCCCCTCAGCGGTGAGGGTGGGGCCGGAGGGCGCTTCAACTCCCCACGCCGAGCCGCTGCGGCGACCGCTGCTGCTCTTCGGCTCGACATCCGCGGTGCGGGACTCTCCCAGCGGCGTGTCCAGCTCGACGGCCAGTCCCCGGAGCGAGACCTCCTCCTGTTTCAGTCCTCCCAGTCGCGCGCGGAGTCCCTCACGGCTTGTGGCGGGCGGGCGACACCCGCGACAGCTCTCGTCCCGCAGCAGTCCGCAGCTGTCTCGCGCCCGACGCACAGCCGCTGCCGTCTCTCCAGCGCCGGCCTCCTCGCCGTGTACCCCTCTCCACGGCAGAACGTTTGGGGACAGTGACAGCGACCAGGAGTGTGCCCACGGCAGCGGGGGCTCCCCGTCCGGCTCGGCGCGGTCCGGCCGGCGCCGCCAGCTTCTGAGGTATGTGAGCGACGACAGCGGCTCCCGCTCGGCGGCGGGCGGAGGGCGGCGGAGGAGACCCCGCCCGGTCCGATCGCTCTCCTCCGGCCGCTGCGGGAGCTCCGGAGCTCCCAGCGCTCAGCGGAAGGACAGGTTCGTCCAGGAGCGGGCCCACAGCGAGGACCTGTGGGCAGTCAGTGGGGAGGGCGAGCGGGGGACGCGGGAGGCGCGCGCCTGGAGCGCTCGTCGGCAGCGCTCGGAGGGCTCTCAGCGGCCGGAGGTGGGGAGGGGTCCGCTGGGCGACCGGGGCCAGTCGCAGGGTCCGCTGAGCGCTGGGGCTCCGACGCCGCTCTCGGAGCCCAGCGTGGCCCGAATCCGGCGGCTGAGTCGCGCCACACCCGCCAGAATCGCCAGTGTCGATGATGATCTCAGCGCGCGCATTAAACGGGCTCACGTGAGCACATTCTCTAGGTCAGAGCCGAGCACTCCGCTCCGAAAGCATCGCGTCAAGAATGTCTAGCTTAGTCGTGCCACTGCTGTGGCTGCCATAAGTCGTGTTGTCGAGACAGTTTTGTAGTTGACAATACGTTGTTACCGTGTGTGCGGGAAAGAATGCCATCTCGCTGCGGCAGTACTCGAATGTGCAATATCAGGGCGCCTAAATACAACATTGTTTCAGCCATACGGTTCGTAGATAGTACCTAATTTAGGCATTTGGAGACAATGCCTTTGATTTTTGTCCTCGTCACAATACGCTTATGTTAGTCACTATGCCTAAGTAAATGTGTAAGAAACATGCGATGACAGTCCTGTGCTATAGCTGAATAACTGCGAAGTGAAGCGAAATAAAGCATAATACCTCGATGTGGCGTTTTGTTGATGTTAGATGCTTTAGCATTGAGTTTTATAGTAGGTACATTTGTGTGTAGCTATTGAACGGATGAATCGCATCCACTGGTGAGAAATCGCATCGGACACGCCGAAAATGCTGAATCGAACATTTGTATGTCATGTTACCCACACCGATGACGTCACGGCATGGACTGTGACGTGACGTCACTTACCCAAGTCATGTAGGTACGCCTATGACTGGCGGCTCTAACAGCACCAGAACGGCTCGGGGCGCGCAGCGGAAAGAAACCGCTATCCTCATAGTCAGTCTCGTCAGACCGTGTGTAGCTGCCGTCGGTATAGGAGGGGTGCTCGTCCTGACTGCCATGAAGTTGGCGCGTACTCAGCTGTGGGCACCATCACCATCACCACTGCTGATGGTGGTGGTGATGGTGGTGAGCCTGCCGATCCTGGTGCCGGCGCTGGAGACGGAGCGCCTCACCCTGCTGATGCCGAAGGTTCTGCCGCCGCACGTGAGTTGCATAGTTCAGTGTCGCTTTGTGCCAGCAGAGTGGAGACCGGGTTTAGCGTAGCCGCAGCGGTGTAACTTTCTATATGTATGGGGGTGCAGGTGCACCCCCATCCCCTGAAAGTGCACCCCCATCACGTCAAAGTGCACCCCCATAGGCTAAGCGGCGCCCCAGACGCCACCCGACACCGATAAGCTCTTGAGCAGATGGCGAGGGTGATTTCCCGGCTACATTCCGTCTCGTGAACGGCGTCGTGCTCTTGCGGGCATGGGAAGCGTCCAGTCGCATCGTTCCCCAAAAATGGGTGAAAGGGGCACCCCGGCAAGAACAGGACTTTCTCAGCAAAAGTGGAGCGCCCGAGGCAGAACTGGGGCACCTCCAACGTAGGTTGGGATCGTCAGGCATAAGACTGGCGCCCCAGCGGAGGAGAGGCGCCCCCAGTAGGAATGAGGCACCTCAAGCAGAACTTGGGTTCGCCCAGTGGAAGAGAGCCCTCAGTAGAACACGGGCGACCCCAGCAGAAAGGGGCGCCTCACCAGAAGAAGGGCACCCCAGCAGAAAGGGGGCGCCCCACCAGAAAAGAGATGCCCCCAGCAGAAAAGGAGTGCCCTCAGCACAAGAATGGCTCCCCAGCAGAAAGGGGGCGCTCCACCAGAAGAGGGATGCTTCCAGCAGAAGAGAGACACTCCAATATAAATGGGGCACCTCAGGCAAAAGTTGGGCTCGTCCAGCAGTAGTGGGGCGCCCCAGCAGAAGAGGATTACCCCCAGCATAGGGCCCAGCAGAAAGGGTGCCCTACCAGGAGAGGGATGCCTAAAGAAGAGAGGCGCCCCAATACAAAAGGGGCACCTGGAGCAAAAGTTGGGTTTGTCTAGCAGCAGTGGGGCCGGGGGCGCCCCTAGCAAAGGTGGGGCGTCCCCAGCGGCCCCGGCGGAAGTGGGGCATCCCCAGCAGAACAGGGGCTCCCCCAACAAAAGAGCAATGCCCCCAACAGACATAGCCGAGCACATTCAGCAGAAGTTGAGCTGACCGAGCAGAAGAGGCGCGCTCTAGCAGAAGAGTTCGCACCCCCAGAAGAGGGGCGGTTCCACCAGAAGAGGGGCGCCGCCACCAGAAGATGGGCGCCTCCAGCAGAAGAGGGACAGCCCCGCAAAAGAGGGGCGCCGCCCGCAGAAGGGGGCGCATCCAATAAAAATGGGACACCTCAAGCGGCGGTTGGGCTCGCCGAGCACAAGAAGGGCGCCCTTAGTAGAAAAGGTCGAGCGACTTAAGCAGAAGTTGGGCTCGCCCAGCAGAAAAGGGACGCCTCTAGCAAAAATAGGGCATACCCGGGAAGGGAAATGTCAGACTCCAGCACAAAAGTGAGACCCCAGCAGAGGAGGAGCGCCCATCAGAAGTAAGTCCCACCGAGCAGAAGAGGGGTGACCTCAGCAAGAGAGAGAGAGAGAGGCGACCCCAGCAGTAGAAAGGCGCCCAATACCTAAAAAAGGTGATGGCAGCAAAAGTGGGTGTCGCCAGTCGCCGAGAATAAAAAGGGCACCCCGATTCTATAAAAGGTTGGAATAAAAAGTGAAATGCAATTTCGTTATAATTTCAATTGATTGATTGATATTCGTGCAAACGAATTTAATGTCATTTCGTAATACCCAACATTGTACCATTGGACTCTAACATTGGGGTGTTTAGTGTTCATACAATTAAAATTGTGCATGAAAAAAAATTCATTTTATTTCAAAAGTTCTTGTACCTACAAGTAGAAGCCTCGACATCCGTTTATCGGTGCGCCGGTTAGAGGGCCTTGGGTTAATATAAATGAACTGCAATCCCATTTGCAACATCAGACTCAAACTAAATCGGAGGAACACAAAATGGTGATCACTCTTAAGTCTCAATTTCGAAATATACCAACAAAGCATGTTACCGAAATTGAGAGACAAAGGCGCACACAAGGGGGGGGGGGGAGGGCACACGGGCCCATGCCCTCCCCCCCATTCGAATTGGGACCCATCTCAAATGGTTCTCAAATGGGCCCCTAATCTTAAAACCGCTGAAGACTGTCTAAAATGAGCTGAAATGTCGATTAAAAAGACCAGGAGGGCCCATCTCGGACCCCACAGGCCCAAATGAGGTCATACAATGTCCAGCGCAGTCAAGGGGAAGGTGATAGATGTCAAATTTCAACAACTTTCAAAAGGCCCCAAAGGCCTTCAACTTGCTTCAAAGGGCCCTCAGAAGGCCTTAAAAGGCGCCAATGGGCCCTGCACCGGCGTCAAACGCCTCCGAAGGCCTCAAAGGGTCCTCAGCTGACATCAAATGGCCCTCAGCTGGCGTCAAATGGCGCTAAGAAGGCCTCAAAGGGCCTTTGGATCTTCGGGCCCTTTGAGGGCTTCTTCGTTGTGACAGTGCTGCTTTGTCGGTGAGGTGCGCGGTCGCCGTGGGTCCCTCGCACGCCACCGAACAGCGAGAGGTGGGTGATCGGGGCCGCCGGATAGGTACGGGCTTCCTGAATATCTGTTACGACTGGTACTATTAGGAAAGTGGGCATGCCGCCTGAAAATTGTGTCTTTGTAGTATGTGGTATAAAAGTGAGAAAAAAGTTAAATATCTGGTTTGTGATCTCGCTACGAATCATTGTAATGACTTTTCATGCCGATGTGCCTAAATAAATACGCGAATTGACAAAGGGGGTGCTGCCCCGCTCATACACATCCGGGCCAACCCGTGACTAGCCGCCGCTTCTAGCTAGCCGGGGTCGGTCGGCCGGCCGGCAGTTAAGGCCGCCCCACACTGAAACTCGCATGCGGGTTGCGGGTTTGCGGGTTTTGAGTTTGCGGGCATAATTACGAGCGAGCGCAGCGAGCGAAGCGAAGTCTTTTCAATATAACGGAAAAATCTCAGTATGAGCGGCCCGGCCCGGCCCGGCCCGGCCCGGCCCGGCCTGTAACGCTTTTGAGAGGCTTATAACTCAGCAACCGCTGGACCGAATGGCCTGCGGTCTTTTTTGCTGGGTAGCCCCATCCCTTCTACCCCGAAATTGACTACTTTTGATACATCTCAGTGACCGCCGTTGCACGTGCCACGTGAAAAGTCAACGGTGTTCAAGCAGTTTTGCAAAAGTAATGATTTTGAGAGGCCCATATCTCAGCAGCAGCTTGAGCGATTGTCTTGCGGTCATTTTTATAGGGTAGCTGCATCCCTTCTACCAAAGGTCGGATACTCTTCATCTATGTGAGTGACCTCCACTGCACGTGCAAAATACAACAATAAGAGGTGCCAAATTTGTTCTCATTTCAGTAACTCGGTGATTACTTGGGCGATTTCGCTGAAACTTGGCATACAGGTAGGCACCCACCAGGAAATGCATTCCCATGTGTTGCGGTTAGGGTGCTACTGCACGTGCGCACGTGCAGGGGGCGTTTCCAGATCTCGAGAACGGCTGGGCCGATTGCGCTCAAATTTGGTACACGGTTTGGGACCGGTTAGTAGGGTGCCGTGCAAAAGTCATTTTGGACCCCATTTGCACGTGCGCACGTGCAGAATGCCGCTTCCAGATCTCAGGAACGGCTGGGCCGATTGCGTTCAAATTTGGTACACCGCTAGCGACCGGTTAGAAGGGTGCTTTGCACAAGCCCGTTGAAAGTACCCTCTCGCCCTTCTACACGTGCAGGGCTCACTATCTCGCTCGCTCGTTCTTCGCCCAAAAGGCGTTTTACTGGTACTAATTCATAGAGTGATTAGGTCGTTCCCTTATGGTAACTTCATGAATACAGTGAAGCCAGTGCACCTTCAGAAAATTACATATAGTCACAATACCAGCGCAACGAACCAAAATTCGACTCCAACGAAAAACCCGCAAGCCTCGCAGAACTCGCAGACCTCGCTGCGAGGAAAATCGAAAGTTGACTTAAAACGAGCTTCTGGAATGCGATGTAAGGTGGCTCGCAAGCTAAAAACATGCAGACTCGCTTGTTACATGGTAGTGTGGGTCACTCAGCTTAGATTGTATTATTTGATTTTGAAGAAACCCGAAAAACCAAAAACTCGCAACCCGCATGCGAGGTCCAGTGTGGGGCGGCCTTTAGGCGCTACCCGCGCTGATTTCTGAGGGCCTTGCATCCACGCTTATCAATCGAATATTTTACGTGATTGTTAAGATGGTAATAACTACTCACTGAATCGTATTTGAATGAAACATGCTGCGTAAACAAAAATGGAACATTAAATGCTTTGAAAATTGAACGGGTTTTGAAGTAATTGTTTTATCATGTATAGACAGAAGCTAAGTTTCAAGTCAACCGAAATATAATCGCGTTGGGGAACTTTATCGGCTGGGGCCTGGGGCCCTTCGGTGGAGGGCCCCTATTTGCAGGTCGTGCCCCCCCGTTCAAAAATCCTGTGTGCAGGCCAGTTGAGAGATATGCACCATCTATGGAAGCACCCCTATCCTCATTGAAGGTCGCCCCCATCACCAAGTGCACCCCCATCTCAAAAGCAAAAGTTACACCCCTGAGCGTAGGTATATTTACTGTGTGCGTAACAAGCATGAGATGCGTAGGGATCAATGTACTAATTTTTATTTTATCAAGCTAACGCTCCTTTTCACAGAACGTCCATTTCACCAGATCCGCCACAGCTCTTCCGATGGGACCGCTCAATTTTCGAAGATTAGTCGTAAACGGTTATTTTGTTTCATGTAAAGATAATTCGATATAGCTTAGCTACTTAGGTCATTTGTTGACTTGTGTGTTCTCAAAGGTAAAAACTGGAATAATAGGTACCTTCATTATTTTTAAGAAAGCATTTTTTACTTATCAACACCGTATCGACCAAATAAGGTGGTTTTGATGACGAAACATTCATGATTCACAGACGATCTTTTTCTTACTCAATGCTGCTTATCAGAATTGTATGTGATAATGTTTGTTTTCTTCATCGGCATCACACTCACCAGTAGCGATCAATAAGATAATTATTCGATCGTGAATGAACCCTGAGCATACGTTTCGTTCATTGTGACGCCTGGCGAAACGTGCTGGTATGCGTCTTTGCCTGAACTAAGTTCCTACCAATGCTATAAAACATGCAACGTTGAATGGTGTTGTAAAACTACAACCAGAATCAAGCAACATTTGCAATCAAATGTAACGCTTTCAGCAGTCACCATGCCCAAGCGGGCTCCAGCACTAAATAATCCCCCCCCCCCTACAACACCTCCCGGCACGGACCGGCAGCTCCCAGCCACCAGACCAAACGGTGTGCCGGCCCGCAGTGACCGTTTAGTCGCCATTAATCACACCGTTCCGCTGCCGCCCTTCAGACGCACACCATGGAATGGACACGGCTCAGTGAGCTCCTCCGATGGAAGGCGCCAGCGCGGGACGTGTGAAATGCGCCGGTTTGATGCATGGTGACATGGTAACAGACGCACATATAGGCATAACTATCAGAAGTAATAAGTTATTTCAATCACAGCGAACAGGAACCTTTCCTAATGCGCTCGAGGCTATAACAGTTCCAATGTTAGGCTTCTTAACGAGCAATAGGTAGTTATGCATATCAACAAGTGTTCACAGCTTTGTGTGTACCGACTACCGTATGTATCATACAAATGATAAGCCGCTACCACAAATTGTCTCTCGGATACAAAGTGATGTTCTAAAACAGATCAAAGCTCTAGCATTCCAACGTTTTCTTTGATTATGAACCTATCACCATATCTGCGTAGCTCATGCTCCGTTGCACATGCTGAATGCATTGCTTGTGACGACTTTCGTCCTCCGGGTAGGTAACAGAACATCTCACCATAGGTAATAAACTACATATAATCCGACCACACGTGGTACGCCTACTGTAAGACCCCCATACTCTGCAATTTGCACCATTAGTCACAGGCATTAGGAGCAATGTCTGAATTAAATGCGCCACGCCAAATCGGTGTGTCGTCGTCTTCCCGTTCCGGATTGCTGCTAATCATTCGCGATGATCTGATGACCGTATGAAATGCTGACTCGATTACTTGCAGTTTTACAAAGGAAAACTACATTGGTAGTGCTCTATGCTGAGTAAAACGATACAAAATATTGGGAAAAACCGTTGAGCGCAGAGCAGCTGGAGCTCAACGGTATATAGATAAGCGGTTAACGCTAAAAGCACACTAAAGTCTAAAATACCTACAGCTAACGATGACACTATTATTTGCAGCCGGAAACGTACTTCTGTATTTCGTTGAAGCTGGACCAAAACAACGACCAATATGTAGGTAAGTCTAATGCTACAATCACACACTACTCCAGTCTCCATATCAGTAGTCTATGCTAAATATAAATCGCTTTAGTGATTGCAACATTGCAAGTGCATTGCCAATCAAAACTAATCGCTTAGAAAAATATCAATATAAGGTTTATTATAGACGTTTTATCAATGGAGCCTATCGATGTTAACATCCTATAGCCGTTTTAGTACGGCGCGCCACCGTGAACGACTCTTTTCTGTGCGCGTAAACTAGTTCATGTTTGCACTTTTACACGCCGCCTTGCATTGGGACGCCGAAGTAAGGCGCCCCCGCCCTCCCCCTCGAACGTTTGCCGTCTAACGGGACCGGAGACGAGCAGCTGACACGGTGCGACGAAAGCGGCGCGTCACGATTGTCGCCCTGCGCCACATCCGCGCCAGCTGCGCCGCGCTCCGCCGCCCTGACAGTGCGGTTGAGTCATTAGAGCGGAACCGCGCGTCGGTTGAACGGGACGGAACCTGAGAGGTTTACTAGACTGACCTGACCCGGTGCAGCGCGGTGGTGTGAATTATGCGTAGATGGTATTTTATTGTGGAGCAGTTGGTCAGATGTACCATAATTTACCGAGTTGAATATTGAATAAACGGGGATGCAGTACTGAACAGTGAACACTACAACAAACTGCTCATCTGTTGAATTCCAAAATTTTACCTGAACATTTGAATTAGATTGAATGTAATGCCTCTGATGGCTGATGTAAAGCCCTGATGCTGAGTATCAATAGACAAGTAAAATAAAGTACGCAGTTCCACCCACAAAATGCTTAGTCAGCCTGGTGTAGCGTACCATGCAGACAGGTTGTAAAGCTCGCATTCGCTCACCATACGAGTACGACGTTCGCTGCCCGTGTTCCGAATCCACTGTCCTGCTTTTGTAACCAGCGGCAGAACGCAGGTCACGCTCGTGCCCAGACACCGTGTAACCGGGGCACTGCGGTCTAAGGTAATTTGACAGACACCTGCAAACACAGGCACAAAGGCAGGCTCTGACGACAGCCAGCGGTGACGGTTTTGCCGCCATGCCACTAGCTTCGTGTTTTAAAAAGAGGACGGACCGGTGCGAGCGTAAACACTACTGATTATGCTGCGTGCCTTTCGCTGACGACCTTATGTTGGTCATACTGATGCGCTTCCCAGTTACTTACGTTAGCCCTCGCCGGCAGTGCTTCCCAGTTACTTACGTTAGCCCTCGCCGGCACAAGCCATTTTGAGTCCTTCGACGGCACAAGGGGGGGGGGGTTGGTACGAACCCCCTTCGCGTTTGGCCCCTGATCGAGCTAGAGCTTCGCAAAAAAAAAACGAGCGTGTTGCCCGTCACGAGAGGAAGCCGATGATACCCAATTTTAAGGTCCTAGGTCATCGGGTGACCTTCCAGGTCAGGTCAATGACCCGAAAACCGGGAAAATCGGGACCTGTTAGAAAGTCGTAAAGTGTGGCTGCTATGTGGTTTTCCGGGGTGCTGATCACGAATATCGTGTTAGTTTTGATCAGAGATGATGTCTTTAAGCATTTAGACCAGGTCGGGTCAGGTCAGGTCAGGTCAACCGGTAGGGGTTGTGACGGGTATTCGTAATACGTGTCAACCGCCTCGGACAGCTTCGTAACATGTTACGAAGGCACCAAAACTTCTTCGTAAATGTTCAAATGGTTGCTAAATTCGAATTCAGCTCCAAAAACTAGCCTAGAAACATGTAAAACTCGAAAAGGTGAACCGAGGTCACCCGAGGTCACCAAAGGTCAATGACCTGACCTGACCTTCAGGTGACCTTGACACCCACCCTAATGCATGGGGGCAACATCAAATCACATGTTTGAACGTTTGAAACCACGAAAAGCTTGCAAACGCGCGGCTAATGCGAGCCGACATGCGCCGAACCGCGATTTCGGCCAAACATGGTCACAGAAAAGAGGTCACAGGTCAAAGGTCATTGGGGTCAGGGTCATGAAATTTTCAGGGTAGGTGTAAAATTGATCAATGCGAGGGTACTGAAAGTTTCGTCGCGATCGGCCGCTTTTTACGCGAGTTATTCGCGAAAAACCTTAGGGGGGTTGCATCAACCCCCCCCCCCCCCCTGTGCCGGCGAGGGTTAGAGTAGGAAGTTAGTCCGTGTCCTGTATAATGTAACAGAAAATAGATTATACGAGTAGTGGGCGCTCTATAATAGATACATTTTTAACCTTCGCCCCAGTGGGGGGGGGGGGGCATATGTTACCACCCTGTCGCGTTTTTTTGCGCGTAAATAAAAAACCGCGGCGCGTAGCGCCGCACCGCTTGGGGTAGCTTTTGGTACATCAATTTTAGACAATGTGTGAAATTTTTGACCCCAGGTTATGTCAGATCAGGTCACCAGGTCAAGTTAACTGACCAAGCCTAAAAAAAAGTTTGCAATCATGTCCAGCCTGCAGTGTTTGTCAGAAAGCTTTTAAACTTGGTGGATTGCATGCTGTTATGGGCGCCTACAATTTGTATATCTCGGATTTTTTATATCCGTGACCTAAGTCAGGTCAGTGGCGTGACCTTTCCATTACAAGTCAATGGAGAAAAATGAAAATGCCTCTAGATCCGTGTGTACGCATAGGAACAGTCCAAATATTTCAGAATCACAACGATTTAGTCCACTCGTGATGACCAAGGTGTCATTTTTGCTGATAGCCTCTAGAAAGGTCATCCGAGGTCATTTGAGGCTACAAACAGGTTTTTTGCCAATAACTCGCGATTGGAAAGAGATAGAACGCTGGGGATGGTCTCATTGTGTTTGTCTTGTTGAGCCGCATCGACTGATATGCAACATGACCTTTTCCGGTCAGGTCATGACCTTGACCTGAGGTCAAATTTTCAAGTTGACCTTTCAAGGTCAAATTATAGTTCATTCGACGCGTCTCGGCAAGGGAAACACGATTCTGGCAACAGAAATGTCGTGGCTTTTTGTAGTCGAAAGTTATTATCGAAAACACTTTTCGTAAAAACAGCTATTTTTGGAGTTTTTGCCCTGTGGAGGCTAAACCGTTGACCTGAGGTAAATATTGATAAGGACCTTTTCAAAAGAAGAGTTCAAAAGCTATCGTTTGCTCTTTCATGCGTTTTTCTAGCTACCATAGTTCCTGAGATAGCGGCATGTTTTCTGAAAAATATAATGACAATTGACAAATTTTGACCTTTGATGACCTCTGGTCAGTGGCGGTCGCAGGGGGGGGGGGGGCCATCAGGGCCATGCCCCCCCCCCAAAGGCAAATCAGGGGGGCCATCATATCATTTGGCCCCCCCCCCCCAAACAACCGATGGGCCCCCATGTGCGTATTGGGGCCCTGGCCCGTATTCGATTGTCACGAGGCTCGAGAAACCCACGAGGTCCTACTAACAGCTCCCATACCGGTCTTTGAGGGTCCTAACTACACTCACCTCTGAGGGCCCTTCAGTGGCGGTCAAGCGCCCACATTGACCGCTGAGGACCCACGTTGACCTCTGAGGGCCCTCCACTGGCCTTTAACCCTCGCCCGCACATGCCATTTTCCCATCCTAGAACGCACATGGGGGGGTGGTTGCCACCCCCCCGCGCCATTTCGTTCCTGTTGGAGATAGAGCTTAGCAGTAAAGACCAAAAAGATTCTTTGGGAAGAGACGAATCCAATGATACCCAGTTTTACCTTCTCAGGTCAGTCATTGACCTTCCAGGTCAGGTCAAACTAAAAAATGTTGCTGTTTTGGGTCACCGTTGGATATCAAGTGCGCTGCTTATCAAATACCGATGACGATGCTGTTTTCTAGTGCCAAGCCAGCTAGAACCTCTTTGTCACACTATCCGACCAGAATTTTGCTGCTGAGGTCATTTCAGGTCAAGTTAGGTCAAGGTCAATTATATGTGTTTGTATGTCTGTGTGTGTCTATGTGTATACTGATGTGTGCACCGATTGTTTTTGGGTCCATATCACATGAAATCATGATCTGAGAAGCTTTTACCAAAAATGCAGTCAAAAAACTTCACAAAAAGTAAATTCCGCTTGCCTAAAACGCAATTAACTTAGATGACCTAGGTTGACCTTGACCCTGTCCTTGACCCCTGTACGTCGTCGAACAACATGTTCCATGATAGGTGGGAGGTAAGACTGGCAAAAAAGGCCGAAATCAGAGTGTCAAAAGCTCACAAGGCCCATGGCAAACGCAAGATGTTGAGAATTGGCCATTTGGGTCATGACATGACCTGAAAAACAAGGTCATATCTCCGAAACCAAAAATCACAGAAACTTGAAATTTTCAGTGGACATCAAGGAAGGATAGACGAGCAGCTATACGAAAAATCAGCCTTCTAGCTCTAAAAATGTTGAGTGCAGAGCAGAAAGACTGCCGGGGGGGGGGTGGCAACCACCCCCCCCCCCATGTGCGGGCGAGGGTTAAGGGCCCCTAAACCGGTCTCAGGGGCCCAACCGGCGGCTGAGGGCCTCACACAGGCTCTGGTGGCCTCATTTCTATCTCAAGACTAGCCTTTAATTGCCTCTGAGGGCCCCGCACTGGATTCTGAAGACCCGATGTCGGCCACTAAGAGCCCGGATCGACCTCTGAGGGCCCCTCTTGGTCTTTGAGGGCCCTCCGCTGGTCTCTGGGGTCCAACGCCGGCCTATGCCGGTCTTTTAGGGCCCCACACTGACCTCTTAGGGCCCCATGCTAGCCTATAAGGGCCCACATTAGCCTCTGAGGCCCCCCGCACTGGATTCTGAAGACCCAATGCCAGCCTCCAAGGGCCCGCATCGGCCTCTGAGGGCCCATCTTGGCCTTTGAGGGCCCTCCGCTGGCCTCTGGGGTCCAACGCCGGCCCATGCCGGTCTTTTAGGGCCCCACACTGACCTCTGAGGGCCCCATGCTGGCCTGTAAGGACATACATTAGCCTCTATGGGCCCCGCACTGAATTCTGAAGACCTGATACCGGCCTCTAAGGGCCCGCATCGGCCTCTGAGGGCCCATCTTGGCCTTTGAGGGCCCTCTGCTGACCTCTGGGGTCCAACGCCGGCCCATGCCAGTCTTTCCGGGCCCCATTCTGACCTCTGAGGGCCCCATGCTGGGCTGTAAGGGCGCACATTAGCCTCTGAGGGCCCCACACTGGATTCTGAACACCCGATGCCGGCCTCTTAGGGCCCGCATCACCTTTGAGGGCCCATCTTTGGTCTTTGAGACTGGCCTCTGGGGTCCAACGCCGACCCTTGCCGGTCTTTAAGGGCCCCACGGCGGCCACGCTAACCTCTGAGGGCCCCATGCTGGCCTGTAAGGACCCACATTAGCATCTGAGTGCCCAAGTCGGTCTCTGATGGTCTCAAACTGCCCTTTGCAGGTCTTGTACTGGTCTCTGAGGGCCCTAAACTGGCCTCTATATGCCCCCAACTGGCCTATGAGGTCTCTACACCGGCCACTGATGGCCGTATTACGTTCTTTGGGGGCCCAACACTTACCTTTGGGTGTCACGCATTTGCCTCTGAGGGTCCACATCAGCCTCTGGGGCCCCATCTGGGGCCTTTGAGGCCCTTCGCTGACCCTTGGGTCCAACGCCGGCCTCTAGGGGTCTGACACTGTACTCTAAGGGCCACATTGCAGCCTCTGTGCGATAGGTATCGCCGAAGCGTTATCCATGGGCCTATTAGTGTAGGAGCCACGGGTGCAGTGGGTGAAGTTGCACCAACAATAATTATCCAGTGGGTGCAGACAATGTATTCTCTACCCACAATAATCTGGAATAAAACCCATTTTCTCATCAACACTACTTTCGATGCAGCACGACAAATTCAGGATATTTTGCACACTACTATCCATCTTTCGATGCATTTGCTACTGTCATGGTCTTCAAAACTTACTTGTGTGCTCAAGTGAAAAATAAGAAACGGAACACATGTGATTGAACACATACCGATGACCCACTGTCAAAAGTTTTAGCACGATATCTTCAAAATGGCTAAGTTAGCCGGTTTTACTTCTTGCGGTAGTCAATTCACAGTTGCGTGAATTATTGACATTACCAATGCTTCCAAATGAACTTACCTTTTCGACATAGTACACTCTCAAAGCTGGCAATGAGCCTCCGCTCGGGTGCCGCTCCCTACCCCCCCCCCCCCCCCGCTTCACCGGTCATGGCTGGATTTCTGCACTCATGCACTACGCCCGTGGGCCCCTTTAAGCTAGCACCGGGCCCCCCGGGTCAGTGCAGGGGCCCCTTTGCCAAGTTGGCCCCCCCCCCCCAAACGCCAAGTCTGCGACCGCCCCTGCCTCTGGTGACCCCAATATTGCTCTAAGGTGAAAAATGACCGAAATATTTTCAAACGTACGCATTGAGAGCTATCGACTGCTTTTTACCGCGTCTTTCTAGCCCTCTTAGTTTTTGAGTTAGAGGTGGGTGGTAACATATGCCCCCCCCCCCCCCCCCCCCACTAGGGCGAAGTTGGCTGAGACCGCCACTGGGGCGTGGGTTAATTAGGGCGCTACATATATCCGCATTTCATTATCGGCTGTCATTTTCAGTTACATTTCCCCTGTAGTGCTACACCGAACCGGTAATAACCCGACACAACCCCCTTCATCTGTGCCATTTCCCCTGCCCTGCGCCTCTTCAGTGAGCTTCGAGCCGAACGCCACGATGGAGACGGCTCACCACATGCTGCTGTACGGCTGTGAGCGACCTGGGACCGACGACAAAGTGTGGAACTGTGGGGATATGGCCATCAGCGACCCGGACAAACGCACCGGGCCCGTCTGCCGCGGCGCCAACAAGGTGGGTCAGGTCATCCGAGGTCAGCCAGTCGTAACAGCGTGAACAAGGTGGGTCACGGCAGTTTAGAGGCCAGATTGCCAGATTAAGTTAGCGCCAACAAGGTGGATCGCGGCAGGTCAACAGAGGTCAGATGGTCACCAGAGTGTCTCGAGGCAGACGGAATATTAGTAGACGTGGTGTGCATTGACGGAGTATATCTGGCTGTATTTATTTCACGTCTCGTTGTTTGACAGATTATCTACGCGTGGGCCAAAAACGCCCCAAAACTCGTTCTGCCAGACGGAGTTGCGTTCAAGATCGGAGGAGCAACTAAGGTTAAATACCTGACCTTACAAGTGCATTATGCTGATGTTTCACTATTCCAAGGTGAGCGCTGCGCAATCTAGCACAAAAGAATTAGGTACACGACGATAGTAACTATTTGCTGATCACTTACCTATATACATGCCTCTCAGAGAAAATGGTTACAATCAAACTTAATAGAATATTTAGGCGGTCCATCAAATTGAATTTTGGCTTTAATTAGGCATAGTTATTAAATATAGTTATTATAGTTTTAATATAAAAGTCATCTGCATGGATTCAGTGCTTCGAAACTCCGTAGGATCATTTAAACATTGTTCTATTACGACTTAAATCAATTCAAACATCTAACTTGTTTCTTTATTTTACAGACGGAAAAACGAAAGACGACTCCGGGGTGTTTCTCACATACACAACAAATCCGTTAGTATCCGGCATTACATCATGTTTGCTTGGAAGTCTTTCACCGCCGGCGAAATGGTTTCGGTCGGCGACTGAAACTGCAGGCACCGACTTCCCTGCGTGTGAAATGGGCATGCATTGTTAATAGTGAAATCCGTTGAATCATTACCTATTAGGTATATTTTTGCTGTTACCGATGTGCTCACTCGTCCTCAACTGTGGTTTGATAGTCGCGTTTTGCGCTGTTTGAAGAGTGCTAATAAGCTCTAAGCTACTAATTACTTATTAATTATTTATTAATTATCAGTACAGCCCTATCCCGAAGTACAGACACATGTAACATTTGCAGTGCTGTGTTGAGTTGCTCCCTGACCACAAGCTGATGCTCGTCTGCAGTCAGCCCAAGTCAGCGGGCGTCCTGCTGATGGGCACCGGCGGCTACATCTTCCCCAACTCGGAGGAGCACATGGAGACCGCCTGCGACATCACCGAGGACACCGTCCTGCACCCGTTCGCCTTCCGCACCCACACGCACCAGCTCGGTATGTGTGCAGGGAACTGTGAGCCGTGACGTGACGGTGGCAGCATCTCTAACGTCTGACAAAACGTCCGACAAAACGTCTGACAAAACGTCTGACAAAAATGTCTCACAAAACGTCTGTAATAGCTCGTTTTGCTATTATGCTAAAAAGATATTTCTCACCAGTCACATCTGACGTTATCGTGAAAAGATAATTGCAGCGTTTGTGTTTTTTTTCTTCAGTTTTTTTCCCATTGTTTTCTCCTGCTTACATATCGTGATATTGTCATTCGGGATTTGCGATGTCTATGTAAAGTGATCGTATTTTGTCTGATTTCCTTATGTATAATTAATAGACACATTTGTCCTACATATGTCCCATTCGATAGCGCTATGTTTCTGCAGGCACGGTGGTGTCGGGCTGGCGCGCCCGGTACAGCCGCTCGGACGGCTACCGCTGGACGCTGATCGGCAAGATGAACCCGCAGCTGCCGCAGATGTTCTACCCGGTGCTGGACAACGTCACCATCACCACCGGCGACATCGTGGTACGCATCACCATGGGCAGGGCATGGTCTGATCCTGGTTGATAGCATTGTTTATGGTTTTGACCTACCTAAACTAGCGAATTGCGAAATGCAGTGCATCGTTTACCAACCAATGGCCGCTGGACTATGTTGACCTCCTGGCGTGTTTCAGGCTGCAAGATGCACGATGAATAATTTCCGGTCACGATTCACAAAAATCGGGTGAGCAATGAGCGCAAAGTCCCACAAAGTAAAATAAATATGTTATTTTTTCCGGTGACAGATCCCAATTACTTGGCTGATCAGTATAACGGCCAACAAATTGCTTTGTAAATGTAACACTGTGCAGCATGCATTTCCAATTAGAGTATAAAATGAGTAGCTGTTGCACATTACTTAGGGAGGGAGGCGTTTTTAACTCATGGGTACATCGCAAAATTGGCAATTTACTGTAACTAACGAGTATCTTATACCACAATTTTACCAGCATCGTTTCTCTGTCGCAGTCTGACGGCCGAAGACGAGATGTGCAACTTCTACATGATGTACTGGACGGACGGCGCGCCGCTGTCCCGTAGCAGCTGCTTCAGCTGGGGCCCGCCGTTCTCCTACTGGCACCGGCTGCCTTTCGGTCTGTCCCGTCTGTTCAGCCACCCCTGGCTGACGCAGATACCGGACGAAGAGAGCGCCTCGGCCATCAGCAGAGAGGAGCTGAAAAAGTACTTTACCGGACGCATGATCGGCGCCTAGGCCAGTGGCCAGGCGGGCAGTGAATGGTGGTCAAGTGCTTGTAAACTCACTTTCGTTGGTGTTGGCGAGTTGAGGGCGTTGGTAGGCGCCTTTCGCTGAAATCTTCAGCGTAATAGGTGCACAGACACTACAGCAGGGTAATGTGCACAGCGCACGTGAAAAATAAGATCGCATGTTGAAACACAAAGTTGATGACGAAACGATTCGCATTGTAAAAACTAAAAAGTCGATGCATTGCATTGCTTAACGAATGGGCACTATATTTTCTGTGAAGATCGTCTTTAATTTTGGTATTTGTGTATGTGTTCGGCATATGAATGTCGGAATCATGCTTGTTGCGCTTCGGTATTTACTTTTCACTATTGATTACGTGCATTTACTGTTGCTGGCATTAAGTAATTTATTTATTAGGGTAGATTGTTGCTGCTTATGGATATAAAAGCCGAGGGAGCAGAATACATATTACACAGTCATCACGATCACATCTATTTAGCATTTTAGCTTAGTGCCAACACCCCCACTGGAGTTATGAATTCTCAAGCATTGCTGGAGGAGAGAGGGGTGGGTCGAACAATTAAAACCCATCTAAATTCGTTTAGTGCTTGCTGAATGTAAGGCTTTTAAATCGTTTCATTGTTTTAATACATTTTTTTTATTTTTTCAATACAAAAATACATGAATGAAAAGTATAATTTTGTAAGGAGTTCATTCAAAAACAATAAAAAACCATCTAGCTCAATCCATGGTCCACGTCAGTTCGAAGGTTTGTTAAAAATCGCTTCGCTCATTACTCCGACAGACCAATGCTTATTTTTACACTAACACTGAGGAAGTCTGATACCTACTGTCAAGGGACTGGTTTTCATAAACTGTCATATCTCAGCTCACTGGCTGTAATGCTCACCGGACATTCAAAAACAGCTGACAGATAGCGGCCGAGAGCACCTTCCTGGTCGTTTTTGGTCGGTCGTCGACGGACGTCCCACTTCCGCTCGGAGTATCTAATCGCCGCCTGAGTCGCCGTTTGTGCACCGACCGGCCGGGGTCAGTCCACTGTTGGAGTTGGCGACGCGCTGTTGTGGCCCATCTCTCACTCTTACTCGACTGCAGTGTCTTAGCGAGCAGGAGAAGCAGTGTCTGCTCCGCTGCCGTCATGTGGCGCTGGTCGGTGCTGCCCCTCCTGCTGGCCGGCGGCGTCCTGGCGGGGACCCGGTTCGAGCGGCGTTCCTTCACGGTCGGTCCCGACTCGTTCCTGCTGGACGGCCAGCCGTTCCACTACGTCTCCGGATCGGTACACTACTTCAAGGTGCCGGCGGCCTACTGGCGCGACCGTCTGACCCGACTGCGAGCCGCCGGGGTCAGCGCGCTGCAGACGTACGTCGAATGGAGCTCCCATCAGCCGGAGGAGGGTGTCACCGACTTCAGCGGCCAGCAGGACCTGGAGCAGTACCTGCGGCTGGCGCAGGAGCTGGGCCTGCTGGTCATCCTGCGGCCGGGGCCGTACATTGACGCCGAGCGGGACCTGGGCGGCCTGCCGTACTGGCTGCTGCGCCGGCAGAACGTCAGTCTGAGGTCGTCCGACCCGGCCTACATGGAGGCGGTGACGGGGTGGTACGACCAGCTGCTGCCCAGGATTCGGCCGCTGCTCTACAGTAACGGCGGACCGGTTATCATGGTGCAGGTGAGCGAGAGCGACGGAGAGGTGGTCACACAGAGCAGCCGACGGAGATGAAATCACTCAGTAGTGCTACTGAGTGATTTCATCTCCGTCGGCTACGCACAATACGCACATCATATCACAATGATGTGCACATGTGCACATGCTCATGTGCACACAACCCCTTATTCTTATATGCATATTGTATAATATTGTAACGGTCAGATCAGTCACGGAAGGAACGTAAGCGTTAGGTGTTTTATTCAGCGTTATTGTTTCGATTCATTGTGAGTCGATTCAGCGTTTATTAATTAAAAACTAAATAAAAAAGAAAATAAATTAGGATGATGTACTTAAAAACTGATGACGTTTTTGCAGTGGACAGCTCCGTTTAACCCTATTAGTGGCAGGGGGGGGGGGTTGTTTTTATCCACCCCTCAGGTTTTTCGGGAATATCTCCGAAACCGCTGAAGCTACGATGCTGAAATTTTCTGACTTTTCCTAAAACTAAATTGGGCACATTCCCTGAAAATTTCAAGTTCATAACTTTACCAGGGGCGGCTCCAGAGCACTGGGAATTGGGGGGTCCTATTCGTGAAGCGAGTCATTTGGGCGAAGATCACGATGCTGCACCAGTTTTACGAACAGTGAATAAAAGGTATCATGTGATAACATATACAGTTATTGTGCATCCTCTTTTGACACGTTTTTGCTATAATAGGCGGATCCAGGCGTCCAAAAAGGGGGGTTATGTTTTACCTCCCAACATAGGTGCCCTGACACCGCCTATGCATTACCAATACAATTTTAGTCGTTCTCTCATAAGAAAATTATAACATAACAAGACCATTACCACCCTTTTTAGAAACAGTACCAACAAAAACCTTATTTACTATACTTTTTGTGTACCCCCAATCTCAATGATCTGTATCCGCCTATGATTTTTGAAAATGCATATTTTTAGGATCCATGTGAATTCCTGGTTCATTCTCTATCGATCGGCAAAAGTTGCGTTAAGATTGGTTCAGAAACCTGGCCGTGATAAACAGTCTAAAATGTATCTGCAATTTGCCCGTTTTTACCCCCCTCCACCCCCCATATTGACATTTTTTAATTTTTATTTTTTAGAAATGTAGATCACGTTGAGCGAAATCGAATGCCGTTTGAATTTTGAAAATCGGCCCGTTAGATCTCGAGATATCAAGGGGGGTCGTAAACAGCCCCCCCTGCCACTAATAGGGGGTAGCCAGGAGCCTGCCACTAATAGGGTTAAAAGGCCGTGGACTGGGATTAATAGTGAACCTGACTCCCATTGTCGTGATCCCGGATGAATGAGTCCTTCCATGGCGTTCGATAACATGGTGCTCATTCTGTAGCTGACCACAGCCAGTTGGTCAGTGAGTATTGTCAAGCAAGACATGGTTGTTAATATTTTTGTTTATATGTTTTATCTTTGTCTATTTATTGTCACCCCTTAAACCCTAGACCGGCGCGATAGGTATCATGACCAGATAAATATGACATAACCTGACTTGGCCCATCCTTCCAAGTGAGGATTCTTCTTTCTTCGATCCGTTCGCTCAAAAATATCCAAGCGAAATTAAAGAAGAATAAATGCCATGTCTCGCCTACTGTTAATTCCCTGGAGGGATCTTCTGGTACCGTTAATTATAAATATATAGTTTCTTTGTATTTTCTTGTAGTCGGAGTCTTCTTGAGTCATAGAGAAAGAAAGGACATCTTCTACGGGGTTTATTGCTTGAGTGACACTCTCATAGGCGGTATCTTAACGCAAAACATTACCGTTTCAATCGTGGTCACCAGCAATTCCTCGTAATATGCACTGTCTACATTATATGAATATTTCTCTTAAATGTTTCACATTTGCTATTTCCTTAATATTTTCCCCGTTACGAAGTTTATGACCTCCTTACTAACTAACTAAAAACCTTGACCTTTCTTCAATCAAAATATTTACAACAATTAAAACACTTCGCTCGCGTGATCATTTCCGGGAGCGCTCTCGGTAGAATATTCAACACCCTCCCCTTGAAAGAACTCTTTCAACATTTACATTCGCAAGGTACCTACGACATGACATACACAGTAGTCATACACAGCACTTATTACATTTTCACAAGTTTGGTAATCGGACGCTGCACTGTAACACCTCTGATGTTCAGAGTCACCGATCTCACTAAGCCGTCTTTTGACATCTTGACTGACTCGACCCTACCGATGGGCCATTGGCCCCGTGGCACACTATCGTCAGCCATCAATACCAAATCGCCCACAGCCAGGTTTTGCCTGGCCGTAGCGGTGCTGGTGGACCGCTGCTGGAGCAGTGGAACGTACTCTCGACGCCAGCGCTTCCAGAACACATCTGCCATATAGCTCGCCTGTTTCCACATTTTCCGTTTGTCATTGTCAGATGCAGAGAAGACATTCAAGGGTGTCGTTCCGGAACTGGCCCCGAGTAAGAGTATGTCGTTTGGAGTGAGGGGCGGAGCATCGAGGGGGTCACTCGATGGCGAGACCAGAGGCCGGCTGTTCACTATCGCCTCGGCTTCACACAGGAACGTTTGCAGCGTCTCATTCTTCAGTGTTTTCGCGTGGAGCATCGTGTCCAGAATCCGTCTAACTGTTCTAATCATTCGTTCCCAGGCTCCACCATGATGAGACGCTCCTGGAGTGTTGAACTTCCAGTCAATGTCGTTGGCTAGCATCTCCTTTGCCACCCACTCTTCCTTTTCCTCCAGCCGCTTCAGCTCTTCACGTAGTTCTCTGTGGGCTCCAACAAAGTTTGTTGCTCGATCTGATCTCAGAGTCTTGACGTTCCCTCTTCTAGCTACAAATCTTTTCAGCGCACAGATGAACGAGTCCGATGACAGATCCTCAGCCACTTCAATATGTATGCAGCGCACTGATAGGCAGGTGAAAATAACACCATATCGCTTAACTTGTCCTCGACCTTGGCTGACGTAGAAGGGTCCAAAGTAGTCTACCCCAGTTCTTGTAAACGGTCGCTCCCCCGCTGTGATCCTGTCGCCTGGAAGATTTGCCATCTTTTGTTTTTCCGTTTTCGCACGTAGCCGCTTGCAGGTGAAGCACGATTTAAGCACTCTCTTGACAGCCGATGTGCTCTTCAAAATCCAGAACCTCTTCCTTAGTTCTGCCAAAACATGCTGTCGGCCAGCATGTCCTGTTCGTCTGTGGACGTCTTCGACAAGTAGCTTCACATAGCTCGCATGACTCGGGAGAATGACTGGATGCTTAGCATCATATTCAAGAGCTGAATGTTGCAGTCCTCCGCCGACTCGGATGATGCCGTCTTCAAGGAAGGGACTAAGTTTGCTGAGCTTGCTTGTTGCACGAATGTCTTTGCCTGAGTTCAAGGCCACCACCTCCTCTGGAAACGCAGCGGACTGTATGCTCATCATAATAGCTCTCTCTGCTTCTCGGATGTCTTGAGTTTCCAGCAAAATCGTCTTCCTTTGCGTCGTGACTCCTTCCTCCTTACTTCGACGAATCAACTCCTGTTTCACCTTCAAGATCCACGCTACTGCTCGGAGAAGCCTGTGCCTGTCGCTGTAGTGTGCAGTGAGTTTCAGCAGTGGGTTTTGAAGATCATCTTCTTGAGTCGCATCATAAGCCTTCGCTGCACACACAGTCATCTTCTTGACCTCCAGGTCATCTGTCGTGTCTTGTAACGCTTGAGGCGTTTCTGGCCACTGAGTTTCGTTTTTCCAGAGGTATTCTGGCCCTGTCAGCCACCTGTCACTCTGAGTTCCTCTTGACACATCGTCCGCCGGATTTTGAGAGCTGGGCACATGCCTCCACTGAGCAGGGTGTGAGCCGTCATGTATGATTGCCAGCCTGTTCGCAACGAATGTGTGAAATCTTGCTTTGCGGTTGTTGATGTATCTCAACACCGTAGTGCTGTCTGTCCAGAAGAACTCTTCTACTTCAACCGACAAGCGCTCTAACTGGATCTTCAATGCACCCAGGATCAGTGCACTGAGTCTCACGCCTGTCACAGCGGCCATCAGTTCGAGTCGTGGGATTGTTACCATTTTCAGAGGAGCCAGATGTGCCTTCCCTTTCAGAAAGCTCACCTGAACGGCACCGGCAGCGTTCGCCAGCCTGATGTATGACACAGCGCCATAAGCTGCCTCGCTCGCGTCGACGAACGTGTGTATCTGACAAGTGGTGACACTCCCAAAGTCCCTAGGCTTTATGCATCGCGAGATGCTCAGACTGTCCAAGCCTTCCAGAGTCGAAAGCCAGCCATTCCAAGCTAGTTTGTCCTCTTCTTCCAGTTCAGCGTCCCAGTCCATCTGCTTCCGGGTCGCGTATTCGCCAATTGTATTACACGAATCGGCCAACCAATAGCTTGCCTCCTGAGTGACGTCAGCGTGGCGTCATACTTTCGGTCCTCGCCCTGGTGGCGTCTATTGAAGCTAGGTTTTAACTTATTGACATTTAAGCTACATGGGGTACATTACCGCCGTGGCTAAGTGGTTAGAGTATCGGACTAGTAATTCAGAGGTAGGTGGTTCGAATCCACTCGGCGATTCCGATTTTCGTGTCATCTGTCATTGTGCGTTTTTTTATACATTTGTAACGGCGTGCACCTAAGAAATCTCAAATCAGACGTAGGCATTCTTCTAATGAATATGTTGCATAAGATAGATATTTGCAGTCCAACCGATTGGTTCGGTTTCGGTATTTTCCAATGGTCTTTGTTTGTATTTGGTTTGGTAGCGGTGTTCTGATTTTCTGTGATTGACATCACTAATGCATAGTGCATACTATGCGAACGTAGCCAATGGAAAGACAAATGGTGCTGGGCGATGGCCATTCATTGATCAATATTTCTCACTGCCAATGGGTGATAGCACGCAGCATTGACAGGGGCGGCGCTGACCTTTTGAAAGTAGGTGGGCACTTGGCAAGGTAAAGTACCTAAAAGTAGCGAAACCTAAGATGAAAAGTAAAAATCGCACGCTGGTAAGCAGGCTATT